ACACGCGCGGTCTACTAGTCGCTCAGGCCGATTCTTATCGAGCGTTGCCTCGATAACGCGCTTTCTCTCTCCCTCTTTCCCGGCAGTCCATCGAGCGAAAAGGTCGCGGGACGAGAGCAAAGCGAAGGCAACGACGGCTTTGTCTCGTTACGCCGGCAGACCGGCAGGCAGAGCGGCGGGATTCGTTCGGCGAGAACGGTGGAGTCAGCGAGGATGATCTGAACGCGGCTCCAGCTGAAGATGGAGGCACGATAACGACGACGGAAATTGAATTCTCTCACCAGTCATCCCGCTGCGAGAGAGAGTGCATGCACACACGCATCGATTCGCCCCGCGAGTCGTATAGCCGAGTATCGACGGGCTGTGCGTCGAGAAAGAGAGATGGTAAGGAAGGGGGAAAAGGGCGAAGGGAGAGAAGGAGAGTGAGAGCGAGTGAATGAGCGAGAATGAGAGAGAGGAGCATGGGGAACTCACGGTTTCGTCCTTCCTGCTCCTTTTGTCTCGGCAGCGCGGTACAGATGGGTGCACGTAAGCTACCTCGAAAGACGAAGCCCGCAACGGCCGCTCTACGTAGGTAGGTAGGTAGGTAGGTAGGTAGGTAGGTAGGTAGGTAGGTAGGTAGGTAGGTACGTACGGGCGTACCTGCGGCATCGGAGCGCCAGCTCGGTCGTCCTTTCGTCCTAACACGCGGGACAACACACAGAGGCGCCTGTAAAAAGCCCCGAGAGCGCGACGAGGAACTCGGTTGCGCGCCTATGCGCTGTTAGTTACGAAAGGAAAAGAGAAAGAAAGAGAGCCGAGGGATCGATGTGAGAGAACGTCTCGCGGTGAAGAAGGGTTAAAGGTGGATCACGTTCACGACGAGCGCGCCGTCGAGCGCTTCGTTACCGGTTCATAACAGCGAGGTCGCTATCGTGATAGCGTCTCTTTAGCTCGGCCTGCAAACTAGGTTGTTTACGTTCAGTTCGTGATAAATATTGAATTCCAGGTTCTGGAGGAGAGTAGTTACTCTCGAGGGTGCACCTAATGGCCGCTGCGCGAGATCCTCGCCGCCACCGTTCTCGGACTCGCGAGCATCGCGCGTCCTATCGATCCGCGTTTTCGCGTCGCCGAACTTCGCCCGGCGTCTGGGAAATTCGCGCGAACGTCGCGTGTTTCGTGCTCCATCGCGGAACGAACCAACATCCACACCAAACTGTAAGCAGTAGAAGCAAACAATAAATGAATTTTGACCAGACACAGTTCATATTGAGAAAAATAAACCATTCAAGTAATATTTGCTTGGTCCAAGTGTAATAGTTACTCCAATACTCCTTGGCACATATTTACTAGAAGTAGAAACATAATTGACATACAATATGATATTTCCTTCTGATGAGTAGACATTTATCTGTATAATATTAAGAATGGCAGAATTTATTTTTAGAAAATGTTCACTGAACGGAAAATCTATATTTAAAATCACTAGGTTTCTCTTTCTCCGGTGGATAAGAAGATAAGAGGTGTTATATAATTTCGGTAGATATTCTCTTGAATTTAGGACGATTTTACACTTACATCCAGTAATTCATCTACAAATTAAGGTATTGCCGCGCTCAAATATTTGTTACACGCTATTCAAATATATTTAAACAGATAAAAGTGTAACTTAGCTTACTTGAATTTGAGAGGCTGAAAGTCGGATAATTACGTTTACTCGATTCTAGCAATTTTTCCCCATGCACACTTCTCTCCCCTCAAGCGTCTAAAGTTTATCGTTGTCCACGATAATGCGACGACCTCGCGAGCTGACGCGCGTCGTTTTATTGTCTCCGCGCTCGCGCGGGCTCGGGTAACGCCGACGTGGCTGGTTAGTAAAATCGTACCTAGGAGCATGTCCGATCGACATTACGATAATTTATGGCTTAAATAAATGCCCGATCGGTGTTCGAGCGTGTACAGGTATCAATTTACATGACGCAACGGATATGTAACCTGATATATCGTGTGGCGGCGGTACAGGCAGACCCACGTCCGACGGTTCTCATCGTAACTACCGGCGCGGGCAACATAAAGTAGCGACGCGAAAAAAGGGTTGATCCGACGCGACGGACTAGGAGGGGCGCGTCCGCGATACCTGGACCTACAACCTCGCGGACAATAAATTCATCGGCGCGTATCGGACTGGATGCGCGTTCGTAGCGCAGATAATCGCGCTCGCGCGAGTAAGACGAGCGAGAGCGCGTCCCGAAACATGAGACTCGCGAATAATCGGGTTCGCGGCGCAATTTCTCATCGATTCGTCCGAGCCCCCGATGATGATCAATCCCCCGTGCCTACGAACTGTCTCTCTCGAGCCTGTAGTAGAATCCGGCGCGGCGTTTAATTGAATGCAATGTTATCGCGGTATCGCCCTTTGCTCCGGTTTATTTATTTGTTTATCCCTTTTTCATCCGCGCGCTTGTCGCTTTTATTCTCGTGAGCGCGATAACGAGGTCGACGCGTAATCCGCGCGATTTCCGCATCTCCGATTTTTCACCGATCGATATATCATTTACACTGATAGAAAATTACAGTGATTTCCGACGCCAAACGTATCCTTCAACCGCGAAAATAGTCGGGAGAACCGTTGTTCTAGCAAGCATTACTATAACGTCAGTGATAATGTTATGTGCACGTTGCTGCTACTCTAAAATATGTTTGGCCCCGAAACCAACTATAATTTTCTATCAATGTAGGCTACACTCCAAAACGGTGTTATTTTTTTGTGGAAAATTCTATTCCGAGTGATGGAAGAGGAACCAATCGCTGGCAAAGTTCCGGAAGATCCACCGATGGTACAATTTTCTTGAAAGAAACATTTTAGAATGTAGTTTTGGACACCATCATCCAACGAGATAACGATAGACTTTTATTGAAATTCATTCAACTCTCCCTCCCTACTCTCCGTTCATACGGCCTGTCCGCGCGATTTGCACGCGACCCTAAGAGTTTATCCGGTTGGCGAGCCATTTTTTACTTTCTCCGCCGACGTTCCGGTTTTTCGAGGCCCCTCCGCGGTGCGTTATGCTCGGGACGAAAGTACGATTCTACCCGGCGAGCGACTGGGTTCGCGGCGAGAGAGCGAGGGAGCTGACGGTCTCACAAAAGGTGAACCCACTTCGTGGCGGCGGCGGCGGTGTACGCTCGCGGATGGCGGGAGGCGGCTGGAGGAGTAGTAGTCCGTAGGTAGAGAGATATATCGGAGCTCGGTTCTGTTCGGGAGATTTCGTGCGTTTCCGTTGGCTGGTGGTGGCCGCCGCGCTCCGCGCACCTCCGCCAAGAGTTTCACGCTGCGTGGAACGAAACTCGTACGTACGCGATCAGGTCGACCGAGGCCGCCGGCCTTCCTTTGCGTATCGGGCCCCGCTGCGTGTTTCGCGCCGGTTGACAGCTCCCATCGTCGCTCGTGATAATACCTCGCGGCTCGCGACGACCACGATCACGACGACGACCACGACGACGGCGGAGGCGGCGACGGCGGCGGCGGTGGTGGTGGTGACGGAGGCGGCGGCGGTGGTGGTGCGGCGTTATACGTGTCTTCGTGTGAGCCGGCGGACAGCGCACACACACGCATACACACACCCGCACACCTGGCCGTCGGTAGCCGCGCCAAGGTGCGAAAGCGTCCCAGTCCGATACTTAACGCGGTTCCGCGCGGGAGATTCGCGATGCGTTCGCGACGCAGTGTACCGTAAAGAGTTCTCGCGGCTGCGGCGGCAGCGGCGGCGCCGGCGACGACGGTAGCGGCAAGAAAACGCGCCAATCGCGCGTCCGGTGTTCGCGTGGTGCTTTACGCTCGGCGGTTTGTCGCAGAAGAGGAGAGGGAGGTGGAGGAAGAGAAGGAGGAGGAGGACGTGGAGGAGGAGGAGGAGGAAGTGGTGGCGAGCGAGGGTGGTAACAGTGGGACAGAGAGAGACAGAGCGTGAAGAAGAGAGCGAGAGGGAAAGAGAGCGAAGGGCTCCGTAAAATTGGAGCATCCCGCTCTCCGAGTGACACTTGTTTTTCTCCTCTCTCGATCCGGTGTCCCGCGATCGAGAGAGGGTAGAGGACACACACTCTCGCGCCCCTTCCGCCTGACCGAGGTCGCCGGAGGTTTCCGGTACGGCGAGAACGCCGACGAATGACGGAGTCGAAAGCCGGCGGCAGCAGGGCCAGGTAACGATCCGGTTCGAGGGAAAATCGGAGTCGTAGGCGGGGCCTAAGGTCGGTGGACACGTGACACGGAAACTGTCACGCCGCCCTT